TAATAGTCTTAATCGAATACCGCAAGACTTATTTAAATTATTTAAAAATCTTAATTGAATATCATATATATATCTCTCTCTCTCCACACACACAGAATATATATCACCCTATCTCTATCTCTCTGTACTATATTGTTACCAGCATCCAGATCTTCTGTGTTTGTTTTACATACATACAGATTGGGAGATGTTGTCATGGCAGTACAAATTCAATTGATGTACGATTTGGCTTTATCTTCTCTTTCGGTGGAGACATAAGGGAGGCCATGAATTTCGACGTCATTCCAGGCTAACTCTGTAGAACAAGTGATTTCAGGCTAACTCTGTGGGAAGCCAACAGGAAGGGGAACTGATTAACGTTATCATCCAAAAGCACAGGTTGGCTCCTTCTGGCCCTTGTAATGTATACCATCTTGTGTATGAGGTTTTTATATACGAGTCTCAGCATGAGGTCAAATCTATCCAAAAAGAAACGAACATCAAAACAGGAAGGATCCGAAAATCAATAAAGGCAATAAGGCCATGAAAAATACTTTATTCAAACCATGTAATGGTGCAAATGCCAGATTTAAGTTTCATTGGAGAAGGCTATCCTATCAGGTTAGAAGAATCAAGAAAGAGGCAGTATGGAATAGCTAGAAGACAAATGGAAGTGGGGCAGAGTTCAAACTCTGTACTGCCTTTACATTCAATTTTGTAATTGCTGTTGGTATAATTTTCGTGAACAAATTGGTTCATATGCTGAACTCTCTATATATTTATTTATTCTACCCATATTTTGCCAGACTGGATTTTAAAATGGCAGCTTTCCTGCTGATGTCTATTTCTTCAGTGTGGGGTTTTATTAAGATTGCGGTTACTCCATCAATTGTTCTCGCAGAAATTTTACTGTACAATAAGAGAGTTTCTTTATGCAAATAAAATGAAGTTTTATATTCTTGCTATTCCAGGCTCAGTTATTGTTTTCGTAGGATAGAAAATTGGTGTCAGCTTTTACATGTTTGTGAAAATTGGTGTAGTATATTGCTCTCCCTCTCCTTAATATTTTCATCATTTCACAAGACTCTGAAATGAGAAGGAAGTAGACCACATCCAATGTGACCCTGCCTAATGTGAAAGAGATACTATTTGGAAACTGTATTAAATTGTAAAACGTGGCATTCCCCACTGATAGAATTTCCTTTTGAGATATTTAGTCAAATACCCTTATTAGCAGTAAAACTATAAATAAATCCTACACCATTTAATTTCTATAAACAAACCCAAAAAAAAACCCACAAAATGACAGTTGGCCCTATTGAATTTAATTTTGATGGCAGTTTTGTAATTTAAAAAAAAATTAAAAGTCTTTACGGAAAAGGAAAACTATATTTGATATAACAAATTGGACAGCCTTGGCGTAATTGATGCTCGACTCTTCAGTTTGTATTTGAATCTCCTTGATATTGAGCTCTAGTTGGAAGAATTTATATTTACATCTAAACTAAAATGCGAACCGTTGAACAGGTTAATGTGGAAGACAACGCCAATCACCTTATTTTTCCTTGTTGCACTAATACCCTGGTTAGATCCACCTGGTGCCCTCTCCTTCAATTGGAACTTTAATAACACCTTGGCAATTCTCATGTCAGCTATTCTTGGCTTCTTGCTTCAGTGGTCAGGTGCTCTAGCACTTGGGTATGTGATATCTGTCTGTTCCTTTTGATTATCCTATGTTACTGTTTTGTTCCATTGTTTCCTATACAAGAGTTTTGACCTCCGATGTCGTTGTCTTATGGTTTACATAGGTCCGTAGCATAAACAAACTAGTCAACATGGTACACTGTCAGAAATGAAGTAATACATGTAGATATAAAATTTCTCTAATAAGATCCTTAAATAAGGATCTTTTTGCTGCCGTTATGTTAGATATGGATGGCTGAGATTCATTGAGATGTATCTTACCTGATTTGCGTATCAACTTTCCATGTATTATTATATGGCTCGGTAACAGGTTCGTCTTTGATGACCTCATCAATCTGTCTACCTTTCTGTATCTGTATTTCTCATTGTCTCTTGCTTGTGCTTTTATTTAGCTTTTTGTTGAAGAGGGAGAAACTTGAGATTTTTACTTGAAAATTCTGATAAGGAAACAAGATTTGGTCACCTTTCAAATTGATAACAAGCATATATAAATTATCATTTTGAGATGAATCTCCCCTATAAGAATATCCTGTCAATTTATTCACTCTACCATTTTCGCAAGTACCCAACATAATTTAAATTTTGATTATAGAATACTGCTTCCAATGCTACAGCGCGGCAGTGGTTCAAATTTGAAGTCTATCATGAAAAGCACACTGAAGTATAATCTATGGGTGTGTATGATTCTCATTTATAACAGTATAGTGATGTAGGATTACAAAGAGTCCTACCTAGAGCAGTAAGCTGAGACACTTATCAGATTCTCTTGCATTACTTTACATTGCACTTGAAAACCTAGCAACAATCAACAACATTATTAAAGAGTGCAATAGCTGATATGCGCAACAATGGGAGGTTAAACACATCACAGGCAGTGGGCGGGAGGGTTAAACAACACCTACCAATAAGGTTTAGGGTTAAACTTAAATAACACATACCAGTATGCTGCCACAATAACTAGGATTACCTGCATGTACAAGACTGAGCACATGCTTGCACAATTCACACTACTTTGGTATCGCACCAAGCTTGACCCGTAACACACTTGGCATGTGACCATTATGTTAAATGACATGAAGTTTCAATTCTAATGATAACCATTTAAAACAGTCTTGTGTCTCTTGTGTGACTGGATGATGGCTGAATGGTTGTAATGTATCTTGGGGACTACTATATGTTTGTTCGTCACAACTTTTATATTACTTTGTTAAAAGTATGGCATGCAAAATTTGATTTTGGTTGGTTCTTGTGGTTCTGATATCCTTGAATTTTTTTTTTTTCTTCATCTTTCTGTGAATTGACAGGGCTGCATCTGCTGTTACACATGTTGTTCTTGGTCAATTCAAAACATGCGTCATTCTTCTAGGAAGAACTACTACCTCTTTAGTTCGAATCCAGGCAAGACAAGTATTCCTGGGGCTTTCACAGAAATTGCTGGAATGTGTATTTACACTTACCTTCATTTGAAGCAGCAATCAAGCAAAGCTCCACGACAAGCCTCTGCTTTGCCAAAATCAAAACTAAGTAAAGAAAACGGCAGCATCCATGAAGGAAACTACGGTTCTGAATCTGTCTAACTTATCAAGCTAGATACATGAGAAGATCATTTGCTCAATGTGAAAAGCAAGACTTCAATTCGTTGGGATAATGTGAAAAGCAAGACTTTTCTCATACTCTACACCAATGTCGGCAGCCCCAAGTGAAGACCTAAATGTCTTCAATTTCAACCACTCATTTAATGCAATATGACTTCCTCCAAAAGCCAAACCAAAACCAGAACTTGCTACCCCATTTACTACATGGGTCCCACATGGGAATTTTACCAATCTCAACAATTTGCAGCACAAATTCCCTTTTATATGCTCTGACTTGCCTTTCCTTTTCTCTATGATTGTCCAAAATTAAAACTCACCCACCCATTACCGTCGCTGTAACCCATCAACTCACCTCTCTCTCTCTCTTTGGGGACTTTCGTCGAGCACGTTCAGTGCACCCAAGAGGTTAACAAGCTACTGGCCAAGGGGTCTACAACTGCTCGCCTAAGACTTCCACAGCCAAACGCCGACATTCCAATCCCTTGGTGCGTCCGCCCCTCCCCCCCCTAACCATGGCATCTTTAACTTCCGCTAAACTATGCTTCCTGCCTTATTGCCTTGTCATCTTGTTGTATGTTTCATCACCAAATTGGGTTGCTTTTCCTTATGCTACTTCTACTTCTCATACTGAAGCAAAGGCTCTTCTCAAATGGAAAGCCAGCTTATTTCTAAATCAAGCCCTCAATAACCTCACCTGGTACGACCCTCCCACTCATAATATTAACGCCACCAATTCTTCCACCACCAATCCAAAACCAGGAACAAGCCCATGCACTTGGACTGGTGTTTCATGCAACGCAGCTGGAAGTGTTAGCAAGCTAACCCTTTCCACTTGTGGTATTCAAGGTACGCTACATGAGTTTTCATTCTTGTCCTTCCCTAATCTTGAATATCTTAACCTCAGCTTGAACAAACTCTTTGATGTCATCCCACCTCAAATCAGCTACCTTTCCAAACTCCACCATCTCGATCTCTCCCAGAATCAGTTCTCTGGGAAAATCCCACCAGAAATCGGTTTCCTAAGAAATCTTAGGTTTCTTAGTCTCTCTGACAATACATTTTTTGGGAATATTCCAAATGAGATAGGCAACCTAAAATCTCTAGTGTATCTAGCGTTGTCCTACAACAATTTAAGTGGTCTCATTCCTCCAAATATTGGTAACTTAATAAAGCTAAACACTTTGTACTTGAATAACAATCATCTTTCTGGTTTGATTCCCAAGGAGATAGGGAACTTGAAATCTCTTGTAGATCTAGAGTTGGCCTACAACAATTTAAGTGGTCTCATCCCTCCAAATATTGGTAACTTAATAAAACTAAACACTTTGTACTTGGCTAGAAATCAACTTTCTGGTTTGATTCCCAAGGAGATAGGGAACTTGAAATCTCTTGTGAAGTTAGGATTAAACAGTAATCAACTTCACGATTCAATTCCAGCCTCATTTGCTAACTTGAGCAACTTGGAGATCTTACATCTACGGGATAACCAACTTTCCGGCTCCATTCCCCAAGAGTTAGAAAATCTCAAGAATTTGACTAAACTGTACTTGGATACAAACCAATTCTCTGGTTATTTGCCCCCAAATATTTGCCAAGGTGGAAAACTCACAAACTTTTCGGTATTCAGAAACTATTTAACTGGCTAATCCCCAAAAGCTTGAAAAACTGCACGAGCTTAGTCAGACTCCGTCTTGAACATAACCAATTGACAGGCAATATATCTGAAGACTTTGGCATTTATCCGAATCTTGATTTTATAGATGTAAGCCATAACAACTTGTATGGAGAAATCTCACACAATTGGCAAAAATGCCCAAAGTTGACAGCCCTACGACTTGCGGGAAACAACCTTACTGGGAGCATCCCACCTGAGATAGGCAATGCAACCCTATTACATGAGCTAGATCTCTCTTCGAATCATTTAGTTGGGTTGATTCCAATGGGATTCGGGAGACTGACTTCTTTGGAGAGGTTAATGTTGAATGGAAATCAACTTTCGGGTCGTATACCTTCTGAATTCGGATCATTGACTAATCTTGATTATCTTGACTTGTCAACAAATAAATTCAGTGACTCAATTCCCAGCATTCTAGGTGACTTGCTCAAATTATACCATCTGAATTTGAGCAACAACAAGTTATCTCAAGCAATTCCACTTCAGTTGGGGGAGTTAGTTCAATTAAACGAACTGGATTTAAGTCATAACTCTCTTGAAGGTAGCATACCATCAGTAATGAGCAATATGGAGAGTTTGGTGACGCTCAATCTTTCCCACAACAATCTTTTGGGTTCCATACCATCAAGTTTCGAAAAGATGCACGGCTTGTCGTACGTTGACATATCCTACAATCACTTGAAAGGTCCCCTTCCCAACATCAATGCATTTCGAGAAGCTCCATCAGAAAGATTGAAAGGGAACAAAGGATTGTGTGGCAAAGTTGGAGCTATGCTACCACCCTGCAATGCACATGGCTCAAAAAAGGACCACAAGGTCATATTCTCTGTTCTAGCAGTATTGGTACTTCTATTTGCTCTCTTTACAATTGTCTTTGCAATAGTGCAAATAAAGAAGAAGCATCAAGATACTAAACAAAACCACATGCATGGAGAAATTTCCTTTTCGGTTTTAAATTTTGATGGAAAATCAATGTATGATGAAATCATAAGGGCAACAGAAGATTTTGATTCCACATATTGCATTGGGAAGGGAGGACATGGAAGCGTCTACAGAGTAAATTTGTCATCTGGAGACGTAGTGGCCGTGAAGAAACTCCATCTGCTATGGGATGGCGGGATAGAATTTCAAACAGAGTTCTTCAATGAAGTAAGGGCACTTAGTGAGATAAGACATCGGAATATTCTGAAGCTCTATGGTTTCTGTGCACATAAACGACACTTGTTTTTGGTGTATGAATATCTTGAAAGAGGCAGCTTAGCAGAAATGTTGAGCAAAGATGAAGAAGCTAAAGATTTGGGGTGGAGTAAAAGGGTGAATATTGTTAAAGGCTTAGCTCATGCCTTGTCTTACATGCACCACGATTGCTTGCCACCGATTGTACATCGTGACATCTCAAGCAAGAACATTTTGTTGGATTCTGAATATGAGGTCTGTGTTTCAGACTTTGGCACAGCTAAGTTTTTAAATCCAGACTCAACTAATTGGACTGCAGCTGCAGGCACACATGGCTATATGGCACCAGGTAATATTGTGATTCCCTGTTCTCTGTATTTAGCACTTTTTAAGCTTTTGCTTTTAGACCAATGCTTCATTTTCATCATTAGGTTCTCTTCTCTTAAGCTATAAACTAATAAGTCGATTTATGCATGATACAGTTTCGTTAAAATTCCAATGAATAGTTATTTCTATAAACTAATAATGCCACTTCCCTGAGGTTTTCTCTGAGCAGAGCTTGCTTATACAATGGAAGTGAATGAGAACTGCGATGTTTATAGTTTTGGTGTGGTCACATTGGAAATAATTATGGGAAAGCATCCTGGAGATCTTTTCTCATCTTTCTCATCAGTCTCTTCATCCTCCTCCTCCTCATCATCATCTGCATTACCAGCCCATCAAATACCAATTGTGGATGTTTTGGACCAACGCATTTCCCCTCCTACACATCAACTTGCAAGCGAAGTGGTCTCTCTTGTGAAGATAGCATTTTCATGCTTGAATTCTAGCCCGAAATCTCGTCCAACAATGAAACAAGTTTCTCATTTCCTCTCAACTAAGATGCTGCATTTTTCGAAGCCGGTACATATGATGACATGTGGTGAATTGCTTGCTCTTGATCCTTTGGCTACCTGATCAGAATGTGCTTCTTTCTTATGCACATTTCACTTTTCTTGTGTCTTCTATTTAGAAAGATTCTCCATAGATGTTTCCTTCTTGTAATTTATTTCATGCATGTGTGCAATATGCTATGGCTCTATGTATACTTTATCTAAGATGTTTTACAGTTTGTTTATCCTTGTGAGGAAAAACAAAATTAAATAGGACAAGGGTTTTGTTTAGTAATTTTATATACTCTGTGTAGCAGCAAATACAGACGAGAATTTGAAATTGTAAACCACCCCAAAATCATTAATAAACAATTCAATTGTGAAAATTAAATGACCAAGAC